ATGTCGTTGAGGTTAAATTCAGACGGATAAATTGTGATACAATTCGAAAGAGAGCATGTAATTCGGATGTTGTCAAGTTATTGTTCTTTATGGTATACTGACCACGCCACTAACTAAAATTTTGTGAGTGGAATCATCTGTAACAAATTGCGACACTATGCACAATTTGTTTCTCTCTATTCATACAAGTTTTCGGAAGTTGTCATGCCTTGTATGTATTAGTATTACCGGTGAAGATCCTCTTGTGCTTGTACTAGTATTACCAGTGAAGATGATCCATCATCTACAAGCAGGCCACAATGACGATGAAATGAAATGAGCAGACGACAATGCCTCGTTACTGGTGATGATGGTGAGATACGAACAAGTGATGGTGACACTTGTTTGGAATCCACAATGCCTTGTTACTTGTGAGCTGCCGGCCCTCGTTCAACAACTCACTTGTCATTCTATTGGTTTTGAATCTTTTGATGATTATGATCATCATCCCCCGCAGGCCCAGTCGGAGCCCGAACCCAAGTCCCATCCCGTTTCACTGATCCAGCCCAGACTGTCCTAACAACCACCTAGCGGTTTAATTTGATGCATATATAATAATATAATTATGTAAAGCAAGTGCATGTATACGTTACGTGTTTTATAGCATCCGGTGAGTGGTGAGTGGTGAGTGGTGCGAGTCGGAGAGAAACCTCAGAAAACAGATAGAGACAGAGAGTCAGAGACTACTTAATTGAAAATAAGAACCACTTTTAGGTGCTATAATTGTACAATTATTGGAATATGTCTCTGTCGATGGTGCTCTCACATCTTTAAATATTCTACTCCCAACTCATCCATCCCACTTATTTTTGTTTCCTAATTTTTTATGCTATTACTTTGGTTGGTCCTTGTCGTATTAATTCATTATTTCATTTGAATATTATATAATTAACCCTCCCTATATCTATCTTAATCTCTTTGGAAAACCACAACCTCCACCTCCACCTCCACCTCCCTCTCTCTGAATGGGATGGGATGGGAAAGAAGCTATGGAAGTGGGATATCATCGATACTGTAACTGGCTAGTGGAGACATGCTAGAATCATTTAGTTCTACAACATTACTCTTTGATTGCTTTTCAGTGATTTTAAATAAAACCCTATTATTGTTACAAATCAAGATTATTATGTTGTATATCATCGATCCAGGTACATCTTTACATCAAAATGTTGATTGTCAATATATCCATATCCAATCGAATTTCTAGCCCTAATTCCAAAAGCAATTGAATATACTTCGCTCGGTTATGAAATTAATCTGATGCTAGATTGCCCATAAGCTAGGTAGTTATTGTCGTTAGAATATTTTTTTTTTTTTTTGAGGTGATGCTAGAGATATTATCTTTTTAAAACTATATTTTATAAACTACATGATGTGGTGATTGATGATTAAATCTCTTATTTAATTAATCAAACAAAGAATCTAATCATTAACTTCTACATCATATGACCTACAAAATCTAATCTAAAAAATAATCTCTCCAATATTGTTTTTATTTATTCAAATCTGATTAGATGAAATTATGATATATACTAAAAAGTATTCATGTAGCGAATTCTTCCAAAAGAGTGAGCTCAGCCGCCATTATAGGGACAAAAGTTGGATTATATGCAATCTTTGCTTTTAAACGAACAATGCACTCATTGATGGAGGAAGGTGGTGGCGATTTTATATATCTTGTTATTATATTTTATCTAAGTTAATTTCCAATGCTGATAAAAAAAAAAAGGCACTCTACTTTTCTAAGGTACGTACGTACCTATTGATCGCACATGTGTATGCAAATAAGAAAATTAAGCTGATCTCTTGAAAGTGGAAAATAAATGCCTTGTCAAGCTTGCATGCCGTTCAAATGAACCGTATGCCTCTGTGTGTAGGAATTAGGGTTTAGGGTAGCATACGACTCTCTCTCTCTCTCTCTCTCTCTCTCTCTCTCTCTCTCTCTCTCTCTCTCTCGATATTGATACCGATTATCCATCTGCAGGAGATATTTTTCAATTTGATCATTACACGAGATGGTACATCATGTATCGTTATATAAATAGTAAGATATGTATGTTAAAAATTAATAATTTAAAAAATAAAAATTTTCATCACTTATGTAAAAACACGTGATGTACCAACAGTATTCTCGTCACAATAAAAAATTTCTCCACCTGGAGATAGCCATCCCAATGCCATGATTGTTTGTGCATCCAATCGTGCGATGGAAAAGTATACGTGTAGGCTAGTCCTCATGCATGCATGGGCCCTGGCCCTACGGGATCTGGACCAGGTGGTCAATTACCTACTCATGCGAGCATGTTGATCATGTTCTGCAATCATTACATGTATGATATATATATATACACACACACACTAGAAGATGAGCACACATTATGTGTGTGTGTGAATCATTTTATTTTATTTTTTGATTTTTTATTAAGGAATGTAATTAGTTTTTAAATTTTTTAAAAAGAGTATAAGATAATGATGATGAGATAGTTTATCTTAATAAGAGCATATTTTTTGTCATAGGAAAAATAGATATATGATTGTCATTTTCTAAAAAAATGAGGGTAAAATAGGAAAAATAGGGATATGATTGACAAAATTAAAACCTCTTCAACCGTCCACCTCCTCCCATGTTCTCCTCAAGCGCAATCGCTTCAGTTCATTCAAACTATCTAAAAAACATCATGATTTCACTTACTTGTATGAAAAAATGATGGTGGGACAATTTCTCTTAACAAGTACATATTTTTTATCTTATGTAAATATTGTGTATCAAAAGTGAGGGTAAAATAGGGATATGATGGTCATTTTATCAAAATATGCAAATTACTATTTTGCCCTCTTTTTTTTTTGTAAATATTGTGTATCAAAAGTGATGGCAAAATAAGAAAAAAGAGGGCAAAAAGTTCAAAAACACAAAATTACTATTTTGCCCTCCTTATGTCAATATTGTGCATCAAAAGTGAGGGCAAAATAGGAAAAAAAGACAAAAAGTTCAAAAGACACAAAATTACTATTTTGCCCTCTTGATGTCAACATTGTGCATCAAAGGTGAGGGCAAAATAGGAAAAAAAAAGTGACAACAAGTTAACAAGGAGGGTTCTCTTAATAATAGTATAAATATATATATATCCATGCATCCCTATTCATCCTGTACATTTTACATGTAGCCTGGGCGTGCGCGCGCGCGCGTGTGTACACACACACACATAAATGCTTAATAATAACATGTAATCTGTGATTGTGTTAAAAGAAACATAATATAATAGTGCATACCTACCTATGAAAAGCCTAACACTACGGAGTACATTATACATCATAGAAATTCTGTTGTTTATAATTCTCTCACATTTTTTAAGCGAGTAATGAGAAGTAGATTAAATTTTTATTTTATATTTGTAAACCATATGATGTGTCATTAATAAATAAATATGCAAGTTAATCAATATTTAGGTAATAATTCAGTCATTAAAAAGCACGTCATATAGTTTATAAAACATTATTTAAATAAATGATTTCCATAACATCACCCTTTTAAAGCTTCAACAATAGTGTCTATCTAAAGCTTATGGAAAAGGCTAACTATATATATGCGAGGAAAATAAATATTTGTAGCAATTAAGATACTCAATTGGGATGATGCATCTTTATTGTGAGAGTGTTACTCTTGTGATACAATATCATATTATTTGTCAAAATATATAAAATAGAATTGTTTTCGTTCTTTTTGACAAAATAAAGAAAGCATTGTTTTCATTCTTCATTTAATTTGTTTAAATTTTATTTATTTTCTATCGCTTTCCCTTCTTTTTCCGGAAAAAATATATATCCTACATGTCCATGAATGAACACAACGTGGAAATCGAACGAAATAAGCCATAATTAATTAGTAATATGGAACTCACTAATAAATGAAAAAACTTCAAGTTTATTGATTGAATGATATGATACAACTTTTTCCCACTAATGGTTGCTTATATAGGGCCTCTTAGACGTGCACCTTTTAGGAGTACAAATAGAAAACAAATTAAAGAAATAACAAAACACAGAAAACACACTAGTAAATAATGGAATTCAGCCAAAATTGCCAATGCATCATGGTAAAGTGGCGAGTCTTCTTCGCGTTGCCATTCTCTCACGGACCAAATCAAACACCAAAACCTAAATCTACACATATACTACAATGAGCTTTGCTGCTGATTTTAAACATTCTTAAACTTTCATTCGATCCTTTAGCCGCCTGTTATACATCAATTAAAGCTTGATGGATGGCATCCTGCGGTGAAGCTATCACTCAATTAACCCAAAAGGATAAAGAATTGAGAAAGTAAAGCTGAATAAAGGTGGCTATAGCTACTAGCTAACCTCAATTAACCCAAGAGTCAAGATAGTGGAATTCCCTCTCATATCATCAATTAATAATATTAAAACAAAATAGAATCGACCCCATCGATCATGCACAAATGGGATAACCCAATTATTCCACCTCACCTTTTTTCTCTATACATCTATATGAAAATGCTAGGGAGATTATGTTTTTAGATCATATTTTATAAGGGAAAACTAACAAAAATAATTGAAAACTTTGAGTTTTAATCAAAAGGATAAAAATGTGTTGTAAATGAATAGTATCAAGAGTGACTTTTTTGAGTAAAAATGTCATTTTTTGTTAAAGTTAACAGTACCGGGAGTGTTTCGTTAAAACTCCTATTTTATAAACCACATGATGTGGAGATTGATTTAAAGAAGGAATCAAACCATCAACATTCACTATATAATCCACAAAACATGATTCAAGTAAGAGTGATGCTAGGGAGACTAAATTTTGTAAACTAAATAGCATGAAAGTTGATGATTGGATTATTACTTAAATGTTGATAAATGTGCTCATTTTCTATTGATGACACATTATTTAGTTTATAAATTTAATCTCCCTAACATTACTCTTCAGGTAAATAGACTTTCTAGCGTCACCTATATATATGCCATTATATATACAAGACCAAACCAAATAATCCCACATCCCATCTCCCTACTATTTCAAACCCAACTTTCAAGCAAGGGATAGCTTATTAAAATGAGTAGTACGTAGGAGTTAAGAGCAGGCTTAGTTAATTTGACTCTTCTCAAGCAATTAATTAAAGACAAGCCATGGTAGCCGTACGCGTGAAGGTAGCAGAAGCACGATTACTACTGCTATCGGTGGCTGCTCTTCTCCTCCTAATTAGCAGCTGCGCCGCGGCCACCACCATCACCAATACTACAACTACTTCCCCTACGTACCCTGAGTTTCAAGAGCTGAACGTGAAGGAAACAATCACGGCAATTCAAAGTAATAACTGGGCACCAAGGGCTGCATACAACGTCACCAGCAGCACCACCACCGGCAGCAAATTAAATGATGATAATGAGGAAGATGATACAGATCATGAAGAATATGAAAGAAGCACTAATGGCGGATCCGGAGTCGGAAAATGGAAGTTGAAGGTGGTCCACAGGGATAAGATGTCGTCGCAATATTCAAACAGGAATGGGAATGAAGGCAGCCATACTTCCCATAGCCACCTTGTCCGCGCACGCATGAAAAGGGATGCCAAAAGGTTTGCTAGCCTCACACGGCGCCTCCTCAACTACTCAGACTCAGAGTTAGAGTCGTTGGATTTTGGGTCGGGGGTGGTGTCAGGTATGGAGCAAGGGAGTGGAGAATACTTCGTGAGGATCGGAGTGGGTAGCCCACCACGAAGCCAATACATGGTGATTGACTCCGGCAGTGACATCGTGTGGGTTCAGTGCCAGCCTTGCACCCATTGTTACCACCAGTCCGACCCCATCTTTGACCCCGCCCGCTCTACTTCGTATTCTGGCGTCTCCTGTGCCTCCTCCCTCTGCGGCCGCCTCCAGAACCCCGGTTGCCACTCCGGTCGATGCCTCTACGAGGCCTCCTACGGCGACGGATCCTACACCCAGGGCACGCTTGCCCTCGAAACTCTTACCTTGGGACGCGCCCTCGTCCGAAACGTCGCCATCGGCTGCGGCCACATGAATCGCGGCATGTTTGTGGGAGCTGCTGGTCTCTTGGGCCTTGGAGGTGGGGCCATGTCATTTGTTGGTCAGCTCGCCGGCCTGACCGGAGGTGCCTTCACTTATTGTTTGGTCAGCCGTGGCGGCCGCTCTGGTACTACAAGTACTAACGCAGCCGGCGGAGGAGGAGGAGGGTCCCTGGAGTTCGGTCGTGGGGCGATGCCCGTGGGTGCTACATGGGTCCCGCTGATCCGGAACCCGCGGGCCCCGAGTTTGTATTTTGTGGGGCTGGCGGGCCTTGGAGTTGGAGGGATGCGGGTGCCCATATCCGGAGACGTATTCCGGCAAACCGAGATGGGGTACGGAGGGGTTGTGGTGGACACGGGCACCGCCGTGACAAGGTTCCCGACGTTGGCTTACGAGGCCTTCCGCGATACCTTTCTTCAGCAGACGGCCAGCCTCCCTCGGCTGTCGTCGGGAGTGTCCATCTTTGACACATGCTATGACCTGTACGGCTTCGTGTCGGTTCGGGTGCCGACCGTGTCGTTTTATTTTTCGGGTGGGCCCATCCTGACGCTTCCGGCGAGCAATTTTCTGATTCCGGTGGACGAGAAGGGGACTTTTTGCTTTGCATTTGCTCCTTCGGCCTCCGGACTTTCCATAATAGGCAACATCCAGCAAGAGGGCATCCAAATCTCATTTGATGGAGCCAATGGTTTTGTGGGTTTTGGACCCAATGTCTGCTGAACAGTTTATTAATTATAATATGTGGTCCCTCTGTTTTTTCTTTTCTTTTGAATATATGCTTAAATTCAAGTTCATGAACTATATAGTATTTGAAGAAAGGTATATATAGTATAGATTACAATGAAGTGAGCTTTAGTGGATCGTCTTTTTAGTTAAACTTGTTCTAAGAGGTTCTTAGATGAAACTTTTTAAAACATGTTCGTGTGCCTTTTGTTCTCGCGAAGTGAGTGAGTGTAAAATAATGTAATATGTGCTCATCGTATTTTATTTGTACGTGGACCATTCCTTTTCACTTTTCATCTTTGAATTGGCAGGAAGACATAAAAGGGTGGAAATATGGTGACTTACGAATTACCACGCATGTACCTACCTAAGAGAAGTAATAGTAGAGCAAAGCAAGTAATTGGTTAAGAGAGTGCCTTCACTTAACACTCAAATTTCTCTATTTGAATTCTTTTTTTATTACGTTGGTTGTTTTTAAAAAGAAAGTGTGTACAATAACATACAAATTGTGTATTAGCGCCCGTTTTAGTGAAGGCTTTTAGTTAAAATATAGTTTTAACACAAGGAATCTGAGATAGCCGATGATACAAAAGAATCAAACATTCCAAAAAGTGAAGAGAGTCGAAAGAAATAAAAGAAGGGGGAAACTTGAATTGACGTGTGTGTATATAACGTGTAATGTGCGTGAACAATACAAGTAAAGAAGAGGAAACCCAATATATTAACGAGGATCCAACATAAGAGAAGTAAAACCCTAGCTTAGGCTTAGCTAGTAAATATTTCACTGACCCAAGGCTAGAGATAAAAATAGGAGTAGCGGAAGATGATGACCTTATATGGAATGGTCGGCCCTAGTTTTGTCAAGTATCAACAAGCAAAAACAGCAATATACCTGACACAAACCAACCTAACAGCAAAATACAAAACTAAATGATTTTACCAAGATATAATTGCAAATAATATCACATAAAACAACATTTATCATCCATGTTGTTAACAAAACTAAAACAAAGGAAGCTATACTACTAGTACACTCTTTTGTACAATAAAATAAATTAGAAAATATTTACAGCAAGTCCCCTAGCCCTAGCCCTATGCTCACTCGCTACTCGCCACTTGTTGGGAACAAAAATGCCTTCGGAAAAAGCCCCTAAAAAAAAAACAGATGCAGGTTCGGATGCAAATCCACCCATTAGTCCCATGCGAGCCTACATTATCGGGCAGTGCACTACTACTACTGCTGCTACTACTGATTTCATGCATCCTTAATTTAACAGGATCCCGGTTCATAATTCTCTAAATATTTGTTTCGAGACCAGCTTTTTCTTTGAATCAGCAAAGATACTAATGCCAGAAACAAGATTGTGAATCGCTTGGTTGTGTTCTTAGACCATAAATAGGTATCTCAGATCCTCAACAGTCAGACGTGTAGCAGAGCCCCCACCATGATCTTCACCAAAAGCAGATGCCACCATTTTTCTCTTTTCTTCCTGCAAAACATGGGAGTCAATGACACAATATCAAGACTTAGAACTGGCATAACTTCTGTTCGAGTATTTCATGTTAGCCTAAAAGATATGCATTCCCCAAATATAACAGAAAAACAGCAACCTTTTCTCTTTACACATCAGAACTAGACGGAAAAGAAAACCCAATGAAGAAAAAAAAAGTACATCCGCACTGCAAACTGAACTTGGAAGGCAGAAATATTAAGTATAAGATCATACCTGTAAAGCTAATATCCTGTCCTCCACTGTATCCTTAATCGTGAGACGTGTTACAGTAACAGGTCGGGTCTGTCCAATTCTATGTGCCCGATCAATAGCTTGATCTTCAGTGGTTGGATTCCACCACAGGTCCAAAAGGATAACATGACATGCAGCAACCATGTTTAGACCAAGGTTTCCAGCCTTTAGTGACATGAGCATAACAGTGATCTGCAAAATATTTCAACCATTAAAGATGTTAAAATCAATGACCAGATTGAGGTAGTAAAAGGGTTAATCATGTAAAAATGATGAACTAACGTAGAAGCAGTTATGCATTATTTGACCAATTTATCAAGACAAGGACCAAAACCTCAGGATCAGTGTTAAAATCTTTGACACCCCTGTCTCTTGATGCCAGACTCATTGTCCCATCAAGCCTTCTGTACTGAATACAATACTCGTTCAATGATGTTTCCACTAAATCCAACATGCCAGTCCACTGGGAAAAAATAATCGTTTTTATTGGTCCACTATTTGGTGAGCTTGAAACGCCAGAATATCTACTATCTGTGATTTCAGTTCCAAAAGCAGGGTCTCCATTGCTTCCAGCAGAGTTATGTTCCAAATGTGAAAGCAAAATCTCAATAATAGCTCTGACTTTAGATGAACTATACTCATTCTGTAACACTATTGATTTCTCGCCCAACTCAGAATTCGTCGGAGTACCATCAAGATTATTGGAGAAGCAACTTATGAGAGTGGATTTGGAGAAAACAACATCAGAACCAACTTGTTCTTTACATTCAGCAGCAGGGCATGTATTGTCATCACCCGTCAAATATTCTGAAACACACTGATAACAGAATACATGGCCACACATAGTAACAACAGGGTCTTCAGGTGGATCCTGCCAAAAGCATCAAATACTATAAGAATTAAATAGGCCCACCACATTTATACAATATCCTTTTAATAATCTGACACTTTCAATTTGCAAAGAGAATCATCAGCACAGAAATTTCCTAGTTAAGCATGTCCGGATTCCTCCCTAACTCCCCAAAACGAGTTTAGTGTGACTATATTTTTCTTTCAAAATTTTAAATACATTTTTACTTAAAACAATGTGTTACACCACGCAGAAAGACATCTATAATTCAGGAGAGATAAAATGGATTAGTATATAATAGTCCAGGAGAGATAATATGCATAAGTATATAATAATTAGCAAGAGCTAAGAAAGGAAGTAAATAGTTTCAATCTGAAGCATCACAACGCAAAGGAATATTTATTGAAAGGTTTCACTGCAATCATGCACAGTATATTGGGAAAAACAGAAAAGGAGACAGTTACCTTCTCTAGGTCCTGCGCTACTCACATCTATAAAACCTTTGCGTCTCAATAACATATATTTTCAAGTATGAGAAATAAATTGAGAAAATGACAAAACAAAACAAGTTGCTTTGCTATAAACTAATCGAAATGCAGACACCATTTTTACATGGTAAGTACAAGCACTTTATCTCCTATAATTGGCCGAGCCCTTAACTAAAAGCGTATAGTATCAGAAAAAAGTTTTGGAGGAAGGAACTATCCTAAGCAGGAAGTGCATAGAGTTGCCACACTCTGCATTTAACAATGGAACAGGCAGTCATCACAGCCTTCCATGTGTGCATGATGTACCTGACCAGTTTCCAGAACAGTTGTTTTTGTATTAACTTAATAAAATTTTCAAGTCTACAAAGATTTACAGGCCCTTATAAGCTACAAAGGAAATATGTTTGGAAGGGTTTCAAGAAAGCTCACTTTGCATACACGACAAATAGCCAATGAAGTTTCCAGAAGATGCAAAAGATGGGATATCATATCCTTTGGGAGTCGCCTTGCCATTTGCACAGAATCTTTCCCTACACAGTCTGAGTCATACGCTTTAACAAGCTGAGGGTGGTCACAAGCTTGCCGGAGGCGCAAAAGCATCAAAAGAATATTTGCATAATTTTGATTTACTGTGCCAGCAGCGGCATATGCCTGCAAGAAACAATACAAATCAGCACACGAATATCTATAAACCCAAATTAAATCTTCACGAGATCACAAACGAATCTTCCTCAAAACTGCAGGTTTCCACAAACTGCAGGTTGTATATTTATTACAGCATGAAATTTCAACCTGGACCAGGTTGCAATAAATATAAATTACCTCAAAAAATCCAACAAAGTAGCATGTACGGGGCACATTAGAACAGCACAGATATATTTTCCCATTAATAAATCCACTAGCCGCATTTGTCACTTACATCTCAGATTACTCAAGAAATATCAGATGTCTCAAGTAGAATAAATAAATTGAAGGGGAAAGCACCTTGAACTTAGTGCGTGAATCAGCTTCTAGCTTGGTATAAAAGGCCCGCTCCTCAGATGAGAACTCCACTTTACTCAAGTTTATTGTTTTTGGTGGTAATTCAATTATAGGTTGCCCATCGATCAATGTTCCTACATAAAGTAACCAATTATGATAAGCACCAATGAGTTTAAATCAAAATTAGTCCAGTGTGTCAAAAACAACCACATTAGTTCACAGCATCGGAACAATAACAGACTTCATTAATAACCGACATACACAGTGACAAACAATTTTTAATAACATGTTTGTCCAAACTATATGTAAAGAAGTAGAATATATTTATCAGATCAACAACCACACCAAAAAATAAACTTGAACAGAAATGCACAGTAGTAAATTATAACTAGTTGCGAATAATTTCATCCAAAAATAAACAACAAAGTACAATAACGTAATTGGGCACACAGCTGAAACAACTGAAAAATGAAAGAAGAGATTTTGCTTCTTGCTTTCAATGTACATTTTCACTTCTTTTATGAGGAGCAAATGTAAGAAATGAGTTCTTCCAAGTTTCTAACAGTGTTTTAAGCAAGTACAAATTACAAAGCATGGCTTAAGACCATACTATTTTTGCCATTATTTCTCAACCAGAAAATATTCCCTTTCTCAATATGGAATTCTGAAACTCGCAGAAAGTGGTTACCTAGTTCAACATGAGAAAGTAAAGCCTCATGTGTAAGGCATCAAACCTAAGGGATTAGTAAAAGTGCACAAATATATTTTTTTGAAATGGGAAAGTGCACAAATATAAACAACTACCAACTATCACGCAAATCAAATAACCGGAACAATATATTCACCTTTTGTTCGACGCAACATTATAGCCCTCAGAACTGCCTGGAGCTTCTTGTAACCTTGGATTGAGTTTCTTGATATTGGAACCTTAATGGTACTGTAAAATGACTTATATACAGCATAGGGGTCATATCTAAGAAATCTGAAGTAACTGTATAAGTCATCAATTGTATTTTGTATAGGAGTACCAGACAAACACCACCTTCTTTTTGCTCGAAGGCTACAACATGCTCTAGCCACTTGAGTTCTGTGATTCTTAATCGTCTGAGCTTCATCTAGTATCACCCTAAACCAACCCACTTTTGCAAGTGCCCCAGAACCACAATCAATAGAGGAACTATCAATTCCCTTTTTGCCCCTCTTTCCCTTCTTATTAATAATCGAAGCCTTTTTTCTCTTCTTATTACTTGAAAAATCAGAATTTATTCCATAAGTTTCCTCAATTTTGTCATCAGGTTCATCATCATCAACTAAAGGTTGTTTTGGGACTTCATTGGTTACAATAGCATATGTTGTGAGAACCACATCATAGCTAGCCAGTTCTTCAGGAACCTTCGTCCGGCTGCCTCCATGATAAATAAGAACACGCAGCTTTGCTTCCTCTACAACCTTTTCATCCAGCTCCCTAGCCCACTGTCGAAGAACACTTGCTGGACACACAACCAATGTACCTGCTGCTGGCCTCTGCTTTCTGATTGATCGTGAAGATGTACTAACTTCTGGAGTTGATCGAAGATGATCAGGTGCCTCAGTTTTATTCAATTTATCCAAAGCACCGTTGGGATTGTCCTCATCGTCATCCAAATTTAAAGCCTCAGTTTTCTGATTGCCTAAATCTCTAGATTTTGACTTTGAATCCAAATACTTCTGCATTTGTATAAGGGCAATCATTGAAATGGTCTTACCAAGGCCCTGTAAGATAAAAGCATTATGAATCTAAATAGGGCATACATATGAAACCTTTAGTCTAGTAGAAAGGATTAAGCTTAGATTTAGAGGTCAGATGACTATTATTATTGAATAACCTGATCATCTGCTAAGATTCCACCCAGACAATGCAGACTTCTAGTTTCCTTTTGAAGCATCCATGCCAGAGCAATTTTCTGTGGGCGTAAACTTACTTGAGTTCATGAAAATGATGAATTCAAGAGAATGGTGAAGCCAATTATTATAAAAAGAGAGAAAAACCTGATGTCGTAGAAGAGGGACCGACAGAAGACCATCAGGTAAAGTAGCTTCAACTTTTGGTTGATTGAGATCCTGCAAGAACCAAACTTCCTTTAAAGAGGATTCCTTGTTATGCGACTAAGACAACCATATCTAGGACCAATCCTGTTCAGATTTTCAATTGCGACACCCTGGTACAATCACCTTTCTGTTACCTACTATTATGGCCTCGGCCTCACAATTATGAGATCTGTCTTACCCAAAAATTCCTCAACAACTTTAAGAAATAGCATAAACCCACCATCTCTCTGTATTGTTAGGACAACTCTGCTAAACTTGATGATCAAGATTAAAAAAATAGTATCCAATTACAAGATAACGAGTTTAAGTAAGCAAGAACGTGGAGCCCAACAAAAAAAAAAAGTGATTGGAAAATGAAATGAAACAAGGGTTAAAGAAAAAACTAATGCAACCAAATGAATTGGTAGTAGCACCATCAAGGAGAAAATGGAAGGAAAGACGACTACAGATAATTTTTATTACTAGCACAACATGAGAAAGGGACACATTTATGTTCCCTTTCAAACTGGTTTTGGCCCCAAAGATTCGTACCTTGAAAAATTAATTCTTTATTACCATAAGACTACCGAACAAAATTCATTTTGCACTATATACATGGCTGGCCACCACTATTGGGTTTCTGAACGTGTTAAGGTCTCTTTGCAAAAATTCAATCCCCAATAATTTTTGTTTTACTGAACCTCACAAAGAAATCAAGAATAAACTGCTTACCGCACCAATAGCAATGGAACAATGTTAGAACTGAGTACGGAAGTACCTCTAATGCTGCTTGATATATCAGTCTCTCATCACTGCCAGCAACCCTTTCGTCACCTGTCCCAGAATGATATGCAGGGTCACTTGAACTCGCAAACTGTGAAGCAGAAAATGACTTTCCATGCATGAAAGAGGGAGGCTGGCCCCTACTCCCACTGCTTTCAGACCTAATAAATTCGTTGTCATAGCCCCTACTAGAATAGTCTCTCATAAGGCCCTTGCCATTGCTTGCATAAGTACTTGGTCCCGATAGCTGCATAGATTGTGGAAGGGTCCTCTTCTGAGCCTCATAGTCCTTAAGAGAAATATTAGAACTTTGTGAATGATTACTTTGAGGCCGTTCCACATTATCATTATGTGCTCGAGCAGCATGTCGATTTGAGGTTCTTATATCATCACTTGAACTGGGATTAAAATTCTGTTTCACCTGTGTGTGCTGATTAACATTAGGAGAGTTGCCATTAGAAGCATATGCTCTTCTAGGAGAAGGCATCTTTCTAAACTGCCCAGAATAATCTGCAAATTCCACCAATTGTCGTGTAATTAATAATATATACAACTTATTCTAAACATTTTTGGGTTTGTTGGGGGAGGGGGGGGTTGTGATACAAAACCCAATCTAACCTCTACTCCTTGGATTTGAGCTAGGTCCAGAAAGCGAACTTGGAAGAACTCTGCTGTTGCCATATTCCCTTTCTTCTATCTCTAATTCACTATCCGATGAACTAATATCTATAAATTCCCTTTGATCCATGAAGGTTGAAAATTGAGTTTCCCTTTCTTCAACCAACTTAGAAAGTGAGTTCCACGCAGGTAAGCCAATCTGAAATTGCGAGGTATCTTTTAAATATCTTGGTGCAGCAATATAAATAGAGAAGCAACAGGTTTTACTAAAAATTAAAATAACTCACCACATCTGTGCGGTTTTTTTAGATTAAACTGCCAATCCATCCATATCTCCAAGTTGAATCAAAGAAGTCATAAAGATGATCCGCATGACCAAACATGTGCATCCCCCCTTCCTAAAAAAACAGAAGATTAATAAGTTGAGCAGATTATTTTGAAGTGTAAAAAAAAAAGGCAAAAAGGAAGGTTCATAAGCCTATCTGGAAAATTGAAATACTTATATACACACACACACACGCACACACACATATATATCAACTAAATTACAAGCATATAAAAGAATTTCGACAGACAATGCAAGCCAACGAACCCTTGGATCCATACATTAGTAGCATTACATAGGACTGCACACATCCAAGAGCTATTGGTATCAATTCCCAGAAGCAGGTCTTTGCTAACAGCATAAGTAATACACATGCAAAGCCTTAGGAATCCTCTCCTACAAACACGTGTATACCAATTATCAAAAGCATGTGTTAATAGACACAGTGTCAGTGAGGGTCTGAGGAAGCTGCATTATCACTTGACTTCATATGGGTATACCAAAGTATTGCCTTGATAATCAGATATAAGTTTTAACTGATCATTTGATCGATCATCATAATATATATGTGTAAAATTTTCTGCATTATCTCGGCCTCAAGTTTCCAAGCAGGAGGAACTCATCAAAAGGGGTGGTAGACTGCTAGCTTACTAATGAACCCTGATGTTGCTAGTAAATCTAAATCAAAAGGCTAGAGCTTTTCTAGTGAAACCTGATGTTGCTAGTAAATCTAATCTCAAAAGAATAAAACTTTGAAATCGTATCATCAGAATTCGCAAAGACCTGATTAACTTGACCCTCTCGTATCCGACTAGGATTTGCTTATAAAATTTACACCAGATTTTAAAAATAAATAAAAAATCTCCCTAGAAACCATTGAAAAATTGAACGACTGGAACAAATTTGGGGGAGTCGAAGGGTAGCGAACAAGAATATATAAGTTAAACCCAGAAGATAAGGATGAATTGCAAAGATGGAACATGCAGTGGGTGGTAGCGCCAGTGGGTCAATTCGTCATCAAGTTAAAAGCTTTACTCATTAAAATGCAGAGGAAAAAGGAGAAATCGTACCTGCAAAGCTGTAATGGCCGATTGCCATTGGCCTTGTCCAGCACTAGTTTATAGGGTTTGCAGTGCAGGCGAGGGGAGAAGACGATAGGCGGAGAGAGAGTACGGTTGGGTTTAGAACAATTGACAATGGAAGAGATCTTGAATTACGTGAGTATCACCTCCGAAAATTAAAAATTAAAAATTAAAAATAAAATAAAAGAAGGAAATTAATAAATTTAACTAATAGAAAAAACTCTTTTATAAAACTAATTCATTTACGGTGGGAAAAAGAGTAAATAATTAGTATTGTATTCTTGTAACGTCTCAATTTGTTCGACTAATTTTAAAAAGACTAGGAAATAAGGCGCTATGGTATATTTCATTGAGATGAATAATAATTTCAAAAACAGAATCGGATTTGGATTTACAAGTGGGGCATGTCGTCGTCGTCTTCTTCTTCTTCTCCCATGTACGAGTACGAGAGACGGAGAGAGTTCGGTTGGAGATTGGACAAGTACGAGTGTACAACTGTACAAGGAAGGACACTGATCCACAGCTAGACTAACACACTAAACATTGGGCCAGACCTTGGTCAATCAAGAGGCCCAGGCCAGCCCCCTTGGACTCATCCTCCGTTTGGGCGGTCAGTAGAAAAGATCTAAGCCCACTAATGGATCTCAGACTGAGGTAACCCAGGCCAATTAGAAAGCACAAGAGACGTTAAATCTAAACCGTCAAAATTTGGGGAAAGTTACGGGAAAGATGGATGATAAGGAAATAAATCTGGCGGGCGGGGGATTCTAAAATAGTTTAGGCGGCAACCAATATTCCCTCTTGTGTTTTCGTCAAATTTCAAACTCAAGTGTATATATTATTAATCGTTTGCTTGCAATTAGTAGGGTTCCGTTCAATTCCATAATTTCATTATTTTGATAGAAGAGAGGAGGGGAGAGAAATGGGAGGAGGGTCAATGAAATCGAACCCAACCAAGGCAAGGAAGAGAGTGGAGGCCACTGAGACCCGGGAGAACTCCTTGTCAACCGTACCACCTTCTCTCGTTCGCGGCAAAGATGGCAGTGCCTTTGCCCGATGGTTGCTACCCTATACCCCAACACTTGTTTTTCATTTTTCCTCTACTAAATTCTTCAGGGTTTAGGGCTATTCGATTAATCAACACAAAAATTAATCAGAAGAAAACCCAGAAATACATGGTGTTACTGTTTGGATGTCTTTTTGCTTGGGTTGTCAATTTTGTTATTGTTAATCAGATCAGATCTATCCATTAGTATATTAGGTGTGTTGTGTTAGTGTGATTAATTGAGTTAAATGTGGGTGATGATTTGCAGCGAGGAGTGCAACAAGGACGTGCCAGTGGCACTCATCAGCATGCACAGTTGTAGCCTCGATGCCAAAATCAAGCTCAACCTCAGTGCGTTACGTTTGTTTTCTGTCCTTTCTTTTTGCCTTGTTTATTTTTTGTGTAATTTCTGTTTTACTTTTTGACAAGTGAGAATAGCATGTCTGATTTCCTTTGTTTGGGAATCGGGATGAATTTCCAGAGGCTCAAGTTGTGGAAAAGCCCCCTGAAGTGAAAAAGAAGCTTCCCGCTGACAGGTAATTACTTCTCATTCTCTGTCTCTGTTATTTGTCAATCTCGTGTGATTTATATGTCTATCTATCTTTCTTTCGTTCAATTTGGTATTCATTTGCAGAAAGAGGTCCACCACCACGACATCACAACCAAAGACATCAAAGAGAGCCAAGAAGGACAAAGATCCAAATGCACCCAAGCGCCCTCTCACCGCCTTCTTCCTCTTCATGTAAATCTCCTCTCACCTGCTGTTTCTGTTTCTCTTATGTATTATCAATGATGTACAACTACATTATCTGCTGACTGCTGTGTATTCGAATGATGTATGTTTTGTATGAGATGCTGTTTGAGGTCAATTGTGAATTTTGTATGCTGCAGGGATGATTTTAGGAAATCCTACAAGGAAGCTAATCCTGATTCCAAAGGCGTTAAGATGGTATTTGTTGTTATAAACTTCAGCACTCCATTACTGTACAATATGCTACGGTTTGATGAGTCTGGGTGACCTCTAATGTTGTAACTTTAAACTGGAGTTTCAGGTTGCAAAGGAGGGTGGTGAGAAGTGGAAGTCTATGACTGATGAGGTTTGTATTTGTATTCATTTTGTCTTCTTTTTTGTATGGTTTTGGTCTTGATTTGTTACCTTCAATCTTATCACGTGGACATGAAATGGTTGTTACTTTGTCTGATCCTGTTTTCTTCTTGTTTCTGATGTAAAATGTGTTTAGGAGAAGAAGCCCTACGTGGATAAAGCTGCTGAGCTTAAAGAAGAGTACAAAATAGCACTGGAGAGTGACATTGCAGAAGCTAGGGATGTAAGACTTATTCAGCTTACTTGTTGAATGTGTTAGTATTATTATTGTAGTTCTTATTAAATTCTGGTTTTTTTCTGTGTGGAAATTCAGGGTGAAACACCGGAAGGGGTTTTGGAGAAAGAAGCTTCAGAGAAGGAAGGGGAGGAAGAAATAACTGATGTTGATGAGTAGTACTAGCAAATTAGTATTAGTATAGCTTGACAAATCTTTTCATATAAAGTTTCATGTTCCACCCTCTTTGGAGGGATTGAGTCTAATGCATGTTTCTGGATTCTTGTAAATTCTGAGGCTCTTTGTTTCTAAGCAAACTATGGCTTTTCGGAAACTGGTTATAATATATATCTTCTTGAATGATTCCCAAGCATCCTTTTTTCTCTCGGTAGACTTGTGAATGCAAATTTAGTAGTTGAGCATTTCAATTCCATGTGTTTTTGTGTTTTAATTGGATGGTGTATGTTGAAACATGAATTGCCTACTTACATTGAAAAATTGGGTTGATTCATTCTATTTTTTAATCTGCAATCCATCTGAGTTTATTTATGTGTTGATGGGTCTCAGTTCTTGTTCCCTTTGCGGGGCACTTTTTGAAGCAAATGATTACTACACAATGTGCTCTGTAATTTGAATGTTTGAGCGTAGGCTTAATGAAGGAAAAACACGCATTCTCTCTCCTCGGTATGTAAATAGACAAGGTTTCTTAATTTAAAAGTGAATATAATAAATAGATAATAAGTGACTATCTTTCTTGGATCTTGGCTCTTGCAGATGTCCTATTTGCTGTTTCCTATATGACATTTAATCTCAACGAAAATGCTCATATGTTCTCGAGTCTGAGTCAGCATCTTACTGGCTCATCATATTTGCTTCTTGTTCCTTTCCACTACCCCTGCAAGGTGGCATTGGCTTGCCACATAAGCACAAATTGTGCAGATAAGCAGCTGCAGGGAAAATGTTGAATGGTCTCCCTTGTGGGATCTCTCCGCATAACCTGTTTGCCCTGAAGCTTGCGTGTCTGAGCCCTTCAATCCCTAACAGACTATTTGGAATCCTTCCTGTGAGCCCATTGATGGACACGTCGAGCCATTTCAGTTTCACGAGCAATCCCAAACTTGTAGGGATGGTGCCTGTCATCTGGTTCCTTGATATATCAAACCTTTCAAGTTGGGTCAGGTTTGAAACTGAGTTGGGGATGTGACCGGAAATCTTGTTGCTTCCCAAGTGGAGCAATTTGAGCCTCAGGCCTTCCTTCAACTCTGGAATTCCACCTGAAATTTGATTGTGTGAGACATCCAAAACCTCCAAAAAGCTGCTTGTCCTGTCGTTTAAGATTCTTGAGAGAGATCCTGCGAGCTGATTTGAGTGCATGTCAACAGAAGAAATCGTGTCAGGCAATTTGAGTTCTGAAAGATCAGACTTCAATTGGTTGTTGGAGAGATTGAGGCTTTGCAAGCTTGTCACGTTGGTGAGGAGCTTTGAAATACCACCGGTAAATTGATTGTGAGAGAGGTCGATGGAGGTCAAAGAATCAGGCATTGTAAAGGTTGGGAGGGTTCCTCTCAATTGACAGCCAGCAAGATGAACATCTCTGAGTTGTCTGCTTGTGATCCAATATGGAACGCTCTCTAAACTGAGATTGTTGTAAGACAAGTCTATGGACAAGAGAGCAGGAACGCCCCTGGCAAGGGTCTGAGGGAGAGGATCCGAAAACCCGTTCCCGGATAAATTGAGGTACCAAAGGTTGTGTAATCTTGAAATGGATTCCGGAATACTTCCTGTGAGTCGATTGGCGCTCAACGAAAGAGTGGTGAGGGATTTGAGTCCGGCAACCTGAACAGGGATGATGCCAGTCAGTTGGTTGTGGTTCAAGGACAGGTCCAAAAGCTTGGACAAGCTGAAGAGGGAAATGGGCATCTGACCAGATAACTGGTTATTGGAGAGGTCAATGTAAGTAAGGTTTTGCAACTGGTGACCTACGAAATCTGGAATGGGGCCGGACAAGGCATTGAAGCTGAGATCAAGGTACTGCAAAGCATGGAAATTTAGAAAAGTGGGTGGGATAGGACCTGTGAGGGAGTTTCTGGCTAAACCTAGTTGGAGAAGATGGGGGAGATGGCCTAGGCTTGGGGGAATGTGGCCGCTGAAACGGTTGCCGCTGAGGGAGAGGCTCTGGAGGGAGGAGAGACGGCCTAAACCGAAAGGAATGGGGCCGGCGAGGGAGTTGTCTTCGAGGGCGAGTTGGGTGAGGTGGATGAGATTGGAGAAGCTCTGAGGAATTGGACCTGTAATTAGTTTCAGGCCACTGATAACGAGTACCTCCAAGAAATTCAAGTTGGCAAGAGAAGGGGAGAGGGTGCCCTTCATGTAATCAGGTCCAGAGGCTGGGCGCTGCAACTGCAAGACAGTAACCCTGCCAGCTGGGTTGCACTCAACACCTTCCCAGCCTCCGGCGCAGCAGTCTCTGCCGGTCCATGAAGACAGCATTTGTGTAGTGTCCTTGAAGATTCTGGATTTGAAGCTGAGAAGGGAGGCTCTATCTGCTTCTGAGCAAACAGCCGGGGATGACGACGAGGCTGAGGATGTAGAACACAGGAGGATCGACAAAAACATGAGCAATAACAGGTTGGAATTGGAAATACAAGTCCATGTCCTTCGGCATGTCCATGTGAGGCGGAGGACAGGCATTCTCAGTTTGGGAGGGGGAGGAGGAGGAGGAGGTCCCAGTCAGTAGTCAGAGCATCAGAAAACAAACACTGCAACTATTTTCCAGTGAAGGTGGGTGGGGATATGATATATGTATTTAAAAGAAAAAAAGTGGAAGCTGGAAAGGAAGCAGCAGCAGGAGAGGAGAGGAGGGTGGAGGACTTTTGCCTTGCTTGCCGTAGACACTTAGACAGCAAGTATTAGATTAATTAATACTTAATAGCTAGCTGGGATGAATGATGAAAAGGATGGAACAAGAAAAAGTGTTAAGTGTGTGTGTCTGAAGACTCAGAGAGAGAGAGAGAGAGAGAGAGAGAATAGGCATGTAATAATGTGGTTTGGAGGAGGAGGAGGAGACGTGTCTGAAACTCTCGAGTGCCTGCGTCTCTTATTTATAGTAACCAGAACAAAAGCAAAGAGTTGAGGTCGGCTCTCGGGGGAGTAAATGGAACTTGTCTCTCGCTTCCTCACATGTAATGTAATTTGTAAAAATAAATAAAATTCTGACCGTTTGATGATCACGAGGATCCGCCTCCAGTTTGAACGTTGGAGCGCACTAGATTCAAATTCCGCAGCCAAATCAACCCTACTTTTTTACTTTTAAAAATTAACCCCTATATTCAAAAAGAAAAATAAAATTAACCCCTTGTATTTCGCAACGCAACGCTCGTAGCCGTTGCCATCCACAAGTTTCACCTGTCAACACTCAACGCTTGCACAATCTTTTCTTGTGCCAAACAAAAGGCCTATCATTTCTCCGCCCTCCCTTCATTACACTCCATTTGTAATTAATCGGTGTCAAGTGTGAACTCCTTGAACATCACTTGAGTTCTCAGACCCAATCACACGAGCCAATAATGATGTAACACATATACTCTTATTTTAAAATTCTATGACTCACTCAATAACACAACATTAATGTAACATATTATCTATTTTTCTTTTTAAATACAAATAATACGTGTGTTGCGTTATTATTATTTTTGCCATTTTAAAAGGAAGAACCCTATTTTTCTTGCAACACTTTCAAAGTCTATGCTACCCTACTTGTACTTGAATGCATTACAAGATTAGGGTTGATCGATCAGGTTTTCTTTCAATATCAAATCTCAATTAATAATTGCCAACTAAGCTGGAAAAAGAAATTAACCACTCAATTGCAAAACATTTCTAACGGTAGAATCTCTCTTTTGATTAAATAGTATGACAATGACAGTCTTGAATATAATCAACATAAATCAAAATTAATTAGAAAATTAAAAAGGTTCTGACTACTGATGATGATGATAATAATTAAAAAGAAGATAATTAGATTAACTCCTGACGCTTGTTTAACTGTTGATTGCTAATGATTATTCACGTTTCCTAATTTGCAAGGAACACTAGTGTTAATATGCCTATCGGTTCCGTATGCGATGCTTGTCAAACTTGTTAAGAAAATGCGTTTGCAGAATTTTTGCAGTTATTGAGACAAATTCTTTTGGGTAGCAATTGTTTATATATAATTGTATATGGATAACACCCTATTAGTTTAGTCATGTATATGTATAATTGTATATATATTGTAATTATGTTAAATATTAGTTGGAAAGAGTTGTTGAACTTTTTGAGCAATTTGTCAAACAATCGTTCTTCAATTTTGACTTATTTTGTTCTTTTTATCAACTTGTGTGCTCTCTCTTTCTCAATTTTTCAAAGTATCATATTCAAAATTCATGTTAATATTAGAGAAAATGTTGGAACTTTCTGTTATAAATTAATGCGTTGTGAGATGTTATTCGCATTTTAAAAATATCATTGTGAACTAATCAAAAGTTAAAGACGTTGTGGATTGTCCTAAAAAATATAGCATTCTTCATCGACCCACTACGTTCCGTGTTCAAACCTTCTATGTTCCATGTATTTTAGATGAACTTTTGTCTATAAAAAACTAAGGAAAAACTAAAAATATCAAAAGTGAAAAAGAAGAAAGTGAATGATGAAACATGAGCTGGATTACATAGGTGGCGTTGATTGCGGTAGATTTAAGGGGAAAGGACCAATGGCCCCCTTTCTATATGTTACGGGATGGACAGACAATGTTGACTCGACGGGATGAATCTTTGCTTGCTTGCCGGTGAACTGGAAAACTAGATTAAGTCGAAGATTCGGGGCTGCAGGCATGGTGATGGACATGGTCTCCCCTCAATCTCTCATTGTAACTTGTAAAGCTTTAAGCTTAAACATGATACTTGTGTATGCATTTCCAACAAGAAATGTCTAAGTTGACAATGAGTTTCGACTGACTGAACTATTCAATGGCAGCATGCGCATTGCGGTACAGTTCAGTGTCAAAGGGAAAGTTATGAGCTACTCCATGTCTCCCTAATTTGACAGGTCCAGCACTTGCACTTGATGTGGATGCAGCAGCCTCCTGCTGCTTAGCCTTACCAGGATGTCTAGGAACCAAAACTGCCCTAAAATTCAATTGTTCAGAGACGAACATGGAAAAAGGTGCATGGACTTTCTTATGCCCCAACTGGCCCAACCCAACTGTTGCCCTATGTCTTGTTTACCCACCCCCACGCAAAATGTGACAAGCCAAAGCACGAGGAACCCCGAAGTGGTGACCAGAAATCACAGAATAGAGAGCTCAGCAGAGTAACACAGCTTGA